AAGAAAAGAAAAGAAAAGAAAAGAAAAGAAAAGAAAAGAAAAGAAAAAAAGAAAAGAAAAGAAATCAATGAATCACCAGGAAAACTTGGCCAGAGCACAGCTTCCTGGGTCCCACCCTAGACTTCCCGGTTTAATAGGTTTTGGGGAGTAGGGCCCAAGACTTTACATTTTTTAAGATTTTATTTTTAAGTAATCTCTACACCCAACATGGGGCTCAAACCCACAACCAAGAGTTGCACGCCCCACCAACTAAGCCAGCCAGGTGCCTCAGCCCTTGCATTTTTAAAAAACATTTTTAAAGTTTAGTTTAGTTATTTCAAGGAGAGAGAGAGAGAGATCATGGGAGGGGCAGAGAGAGTGGGAGAGAGAGAGAGAGAGAGAGAGAGAGAGAGAGAGAGAGAGAATCCCAAGAAGGCTCCGCACTGTCAGCTCGGAGCCCGCTGTGGGGTTTGAACTCATGAACCACGAGATCATGACCAGAACTGAAATCGAGAGTGTCTAACCGACTGAGCCACTCAGGCGCCCCCAGACCTTGCATTTCTAACAAGCTCCCAGGTGCTGCTGGGTGAGGCTACTGCCTCTGAGGCCACGTTCTGAGTAGCCCTGGAACGGGTCAGAACACCACAGAGCTGAGCCACTGGGGAACTGCTTCCTCTGCTCGGTGGGAAAGGCACCGCCACCAGAGTTACAGAATCCAAGCACACCTCCCAACGCCGCACAACGCTGGAAATAGGTACAAACGCACAGAGTTCTGCTTTCACTTCTGCCTTGCAAATCTCTCGTGAGCATTTCTGGTTAACAGAACCTCATGTGCTTCCAGGGCCAGGGCGGCAAAGAAGTCTAGGAAACGCTTTGGCTTGTTGTGGGGTTTTGTGTTTTTGTGTCTTTTTTGCTTTTTAATTTTCCGGCTTCTGCAATACCGAGGGAGGCAAACCAGGAGGAAGAGAAGAAGGAGGAGAGTTGCTGAGCGCCAATCAGCTACGTCCACCCCACTCTGTGCTAGGCCGCCTGGCCCGGACCGGGGTTCCAGACCCCTGACTAACCGGGTCCCCCTGCAGCCTCGAGGAAGAAGCGTGGGGAACACGGCCTGGATGCCAGTCCCCAGCAACCCGCATTTCAGCAAGCACAGCGCAGAGCTGGCTGGTAGAGCAGAAAGAAAATGGACCGACCAGGCGGTGAACGTGGCTCTGTTTACCCTCTCAAACGTAATGTGGCCACAAAAGAACTCCCCGTTCTACTCCCAAAGCATCCCCTTCTCTGACAAATGGCACCGTGCAGTTGCTCAGACCCCAGATCTGAATCAGCCTTGATTCCCCGTTTCCTGTGCCCAACACGCTCTTCCTATCTCTTGCTGAGTCTGGTTGCCTCTGTCTCCAAAAGACACCCCAAAATCTCTCCACTTGGCTGGACCCTGGTCTCAGCCTCCATTATTGCGCATCCAGACAACCCCCCTCCCGATCGCTTCCCTGGACCCCCTGCTGCCACCCCTGTCCCCTTGAAGTGTGTTCTTCATCCACAGCAGCCAGAGAGGAGCCTTTATATGCAAATAGCACGTGCCAAGCCTGCCCCTCCCTTGTTCAAAACCTTGCCACGACTCTCCTCACACTCAGACTGAAACTCAAACTCTCACCTTGCTCTCCACCGCCCCCCTGCTGACTACCTCTCCATCGTCCTCCCCCTCACTCAACTAAGTTGAAACTGCAGTGACCTTCTTTTTGTGGTCAATCAAATCAAGCTCGGTTCAACCTCAGGGCCTTTGCACATGCTATTCTGCTACTTTGGTCTGCAGGCTTCAGTTCAAATGTCACTTCTCGGAGCGGCCTTCCCTGGCGCATCTAAAATTAGCACCCAGTCACTCTCCATCAACTATCTTGTTTCATTTACTCCTCATGCCTATTGCTAACTCCAATGATCTCGTCTTGTTTCTCGTCTGTCCTCTTCCTTGCCTACTGGAATGTAAACTTCATGAAGACAGGAATCTTGTCTACCTTGGTCACCACATGCCCAGAAGAGCCTGATACAACACAGACCCTCAAGTAATTCTTTGTTGAATGAATGAGCAACTCCACTGTACATGTCCTGATTTCTCCATTTTAATAAATCTTTTTAACGTTTATTTATTTTTGAGAGAGACAGAGCATGAGCAGGGGAGGGGCAGAGAGAGAGGGAGACACAGAATTCAAAGCCGGCTGCAGGCCCTGAGCTGTCGGCACAGATCCAGACACAGGGCTCAAACCCACAAACCGTGAGATCGTGACCTGAGCCGAAGTTGGACACTTGACTGACTGAGTCACCCAGGCGCCCCGTGATTTCCTCATTTTAGAGTGCGGAAATGAAGGCCCAGAGAATAGAGAAGGTGCCTTCTCAGACTGCCCCCAGTGAGGCCCCTCTCACCTATTCATGCCCCCGTGTGATCCCCTCCCACTGAGGGTGGGCTGGACCCGGTGATGGCTTCTTGACGTATCATCTTTGATATGTCAAAGATGATGGGATGTCACTTCCAAGACTAAGTTACAAAAGACTGACTTCTGCCTTGATACGTTCTGTGGTCTTCTCAGCCTGCTTGCTGTGGTGAAGGAAGCAGCATGTTGGGAAGGTCCGTGTGGCAAAGAACCGAGGGCAGCCTCCAGCCAGCAGCCAGCGAGGACCTGAGACCCTCAGTCCCACAATCCACAGTGAACTGAATCCTGCCAACAGCCACCAAGTGAGCTTCCACGCAGACCATTTGCCGCCTGGTCCTTCGGATGAGACCACAGCCCAGGGGACACGTTGCTACAGCTGAGAGATCCTGCAGTAGAGGACCCAGCTGAGCTGTGCCCAGAGTCCGGGCCCCCACAGAAACTGCCAGACGACAAACGGGTGTTCTTTTATGCCGTTCGCTTTAGGGTGACTTGTTGCACGGCAATAGATAATTAATACAGAGAGGTCAACACTCGGCTGAACTTCCTCCCAGACTCCAGGCCTTAGATCATTAGGGCTTCTCTAACAGAATGCCATAAACTGGGTAGCTTATAAACAATACACATTTGCTTCTTGCAATTTTCAGGACTGGAAGACCAACAGCAAGGCACCGGCAGACCTCGTGTCCAGTTGAGGACCCACTCCCTGGCTCATAGAGACCGCTGTCTCTTTACCGTGTCCTCCCATGGCAGAAGGGGGGAGGGGGCTCTCTGGGGTCTCATAAGGTCATTGATCCCACTCATGAGGGCTCTGCCCCCATGGCTCAATCGTCTCCCATTGGTCCCACCTCCTAATACCATCACCCCGGTGGCGGGGGTAGGATTTAATATGTAAATTTTGGGTGGACACAAACATTCAGTCTCTAGCAATGTCTAAGACTGTGCGAGAGAGAGACGGATGCCAAGTAATCTGCACCGTCCATCTGCAGTCCTGGTTGTGGTCCAGCCTCCCTGGAGAGAAAGGGGGGCATGAAGCTCTCTGTTCAGTCTCATCTCCACTTGTGTCTTGGCTGGAGACCTTAGAGGTGTGTGTGTGTGTGTGTGTGTGTGTGTGTGTGTGTGTGTGGCCTGCCTCTACCTGTGTTCTGAGTGCTGTCTCTCCACCTCCCTGGCTCCCCTGCGTTCACTCTCTAGCCTGGCTCCCTCTGGTGGTCCTAAAGGGAATGGCTGATGCAGAAAGACCAAAGGAAAAGTAGAGTTGAGCGAAGAGGAAGCATTTCAGGCAAGTTGTGAGTCTTTGGCTGCCACACACAGAGGGAGGCCTGGGTATGATGTCAGGGGTCAGAGGTGCCCTGGCCTGGCAGGACAGTGCTGGGGGTCTGGCCTCCGAGCCCACCACCCATACCCACCCATCCCTGGGAGGGCTAGGAGACAGGATGCCTGGGTCTCTCACAGTGGGTGGGGGCGGGGGCCTCCCTCCTGGGACGTCACCCGTTAAACTTCCTCTCCCGGCCACACAGGAAGCTGAGCCGGCTCAGGGCCCAGCCCTACGCAAGCACAGGCCCCCCAGGACCCCTAGAGCGAGGGCCCCACCGGCGGCCCCGCAGGGACCATGGGATCCAGAGCTGAGTAAGAGCTACACCCTCCCCCACTCTCTGGACCAAGGTTCCCAGAGCAGGCCTGGGCTGGGGCCAAGGGGAGCCGGGGTGGGGCAGGCCCGGGAGGGGTTGTGAGCCACAGGGGCAGGTGGCTGGGACTGGGGCATGTCTCTCAGCCCCTCTTCCCTCTCGTTCTTTCTCCTTCCGGCTCTGGGTAACTAAGTTTGCAACTCTGAGCAGGCACCTCTTGGTGTATCAGAGTGATGAGGAACATGGCTTCCGGGGGTCAGCAGGGAGCGGGGGTTGGGGGTGAGGGAAGACTGTGTGGGGTCCGTGTGCCTGGGTGCTCGTGTGGGACCATGCCAGCATGAGAGGGAAGTGCTGGGGGGTTCCCGTGTCCGGGGCTCTGTGTGTCTATAGTCACTCCCCATCCCTGTGCTGTCTCCCTTCTGGTCTCCCTGTCCCCGTCCCTGAGCCCAGGACCCAGCATCCTCTGTGGGGTGGGGGGTGGGGGGGGCAAGCGAAGGCAGTAAAGAGTGCGGGGCCCCCAGGGGCACAAGGGCATGCTGCCCTCCTTCCTCTGATGACAAATTTGGGGTCAGCCCTTGGGCCACCGTGAAGTCTCGCAGCCAGAGACACACGGGCAGGGTCTCTTGGTCTCCAGACCACAGAGATGCTCACGCATTTACCCAGCCACACCCACAGCCACACAAGAAGTTGTGGATGCTATTTGTCCCCACGCTGGCTTGGTCACACACACTCATCGACCGGACACCGCCACTGGTCAGTCTCATCCTTCCAGGAAAACACAGCAGAGAATCACAAACACACACACCCCTGCATGTTCACCCAAGTCATGTGCACACGCCCCTGCGTGCTCACCCAAGTCACACAGCACATAAACACAAGTCACAGGCTCACACACGTCATGTCCACACATGCACACAAGTCACACTCGGGGCTTCACACTTCTCCGTCACGCACACACCATCAATACTATTGTTCGCACAGCATCCCACAACCTACTCACTGTCACAAACCATTGAGGTCACACACACAGGTACAGAGTTGCAGACACAACCACAGACACAGAAGGAAGCCCCTGGACCCACTAAAGCCCATTCCTGCCCCACAGAGGGGGTCCACCTGCCGTGTTTGATTGGTTCTTCGAAGCAGCCCGCCCTGCCTCCCTGCAAGAAGGTGAGTTGGGGGCATCAGGTGGGGGTGGGGACGTGGAGGGCAGGTCTGGGGCCCTGAACTTAGAAGCCCGCTCTCCCACAGATCCCCCCATCCTGCGGCAGTTTCCCCCAGACTTCAGGGACCAGGTATGCTGGCTGGTTCTTGGCTCCCCTGGGCCCAGGGCCAGTCCCCCCAGGGGAAGAGATTGTCTTGGCCAGGGGTGGGGCCTAACCCGAATGGCCAAGCAGTGTGCCCTCTCTCCATCCCCAGGAAGCTATGCAGATGGTGCCTAAATTCTGCTTCCCTTTTGATGTGGAAAGGTATGGAAGGAAGCTTACTTGCAGGAACCCAAGAACTCAGACTTCTCAGGGACCCCCACAAACACCCAGGGACCCAGGGACTCAGGGACCCTGACAACTAAGGATGTATACACCCAGAGCCCCAGACTGGTGGACACAGCAGTAGGAGTGTTGTTGGTGCTGGGGTGGGGACGTGGTTCAGGGACCTGGGACCCTTGGGTCTCTGAGAGCCCTTCCCACCTCCAGGGAGCCCCCCAGCCCAGCTGTACAACATTTCACCTTTGCCCTCACCGACCTGAGCGGCACCCGCAGATTTGGTTTCTGCCACCTACGGGCTGGTGCCCACAGTTGTCTGTGCATCCTCAGGTGTGAGATTTGGGGCTCTGGGGGAGGGGGGGGGGCGGGTGGGAAGGGCCTTGGCCTGGGGGCACTTCGTGGAACATACGCGCCCTCTCCACAGCCATCTGCCTTGGTTTGAGGTGTTTTACAAGCTACTGAACACAGTGGGCGACCTCCTGGCCCAGGACCAAGTGAGACCAGCCTCCCTCTTCTTCCCGTGGGAGTCCCAGCCTCTACCCTCCCAAGCCCTCCACCAGGCTCAGAATTCCCAGGCCTGACCTGAGCCCCTCAGCTCCTCCCAGACCACCTAGCCCCAGCCAATCCTCAACCCACCCACCCACCCACCCCCCCCCCCAGCTCAGACACTCCACCCCCACCCAGGTCTCTGAGGTCGAGGAACTTCTTCTAAATCTGCTGCACCAGCCCCTGCCTGGGACCCAGGTCTCCGTGGAGCTGGTGAGTAGCCCGCAATCCCTGGGCGTCCGACCTTAGGTGGGTGGGGAGGCTGTACCCCAGCCCCGAGGACCACGCAGCTACACCTCTCTCCCAGGGCAGCGGAGTGACAATCTCCAGTGCACAAAGCATCCCGCCCCCTGCCCCTGGGAACAGCAGGCCGGTGAGCAGAACTGGGGACCCCGTTGGGTTGGGCCCCCAGGCAAGGCCAACCCCTGACTGATCGGTGCCCCCGCTCATCCCCCGCCTCCCCCACCACCACCAGCTCTCCTGCTTCGTAGCCCCCGACTCTGGCCGCCTGCCATCCATTCCTGAGAACGTGAGTGGACGGACACCTGGGAGGGAGTTCTGGGGGCGGTGAGAGGTCCCGAAACCCGGAGGGGGCTGTCACATCTTGTGGTCCCTCGCGACCAGCGCTTCTCTCTGATCCTCAGAGGAACCTAACGGAGCTGGTGGTGGCGGTGACAGACGAGAACATCGTGGGGCTGTTCGCCGCGCTCCTGGCGGAGAGAAGGGTCCTTCTCACCGCCAGCAAGCTGAGCACCGTGAGACGGGGCCAGCCGGGCCGGGGGTGGGGCTTCGCCCCTGGGGCCGTGACCACGGGACGGATTCCCAGTCTAATTCCTCTGGGCGAGACCTGAGGCGAAGGCCTGGCTCTGCCCCTCTGAGCCTCAGGATGGAGTGGAATCCTGGCTCCGCCCTTAGCGGGGGGAATCGGCGTGGGCTGAGCTGTAGCGCCCCCTCTTTGGGAGCGCTTGGTCCAGACCCCACCCACTATGGGCCAGAGCAAGGCTGGCTCCGCCCCTCTGGAGGGTGCCGTCGGGGAGGTCGGGGGGAGCTCTAAATTGTAGCTGGGTCTCTAGGAGGAGGACCCGGGTGGGGGAAGGGGGGCGGTGAGGAACGCCGGCTCCTCCCCTAGGGGCGGGACTAAGGAAGCTGAATTCTAGCCCCGCCTCTTTGTGGGTGGAGTTAGTGGGCTGTTCTACCACTGCGGAGAGAGCTCCCCGAGGGTTGTCTATTAGCCCCGCCCCCTAAAGGGAGCGCCTGAGACCCGCTGAGTCCTGGCTCCACCTGCTCCAGGCCCTGTAATTTGCCGAATTCTTGGCCGTCACAGGATTCCTAAAGGGATTTGAGTTTTCACCTCTCACGCAGTAGGGGGGGGGCAAGGGGCGAGGAGGGGGAGAGAGGGACAGGAGACTGGGGACGTGGGGAATGGAGCCGGGAGAGCCACCGTCCCGAAGAGGTTCCTTGAAGCTGGGGGTCCAGGCCCTGACTCCACGGCCCCCCACCTGTCCCCAGCTGACTTCGTGCGTCCACGCGTCCTGCGCCCTCCTGTACCCCATGCACTGGGAGCACGTGCTGATCCCCACACTGCCGCCGCATCTGCTGGACTACTGCTGGTGAGGGGCGGGGGGGGGCCGGGCTTGGGGCAGAGGCCTGGGGTCCTGGGGACCCCTGGGCGGCGCCTGCATGACCCTGTCCCCTCGGTCGTCTGCAGTGCGCCCATGCCCTACCTCATCGGAGTGCACTCCAGTCTCGCCGAGGTGAGTGAGAGCGGACCTGGACCGCAGCGGCCTGCGGGATTCCCCTCTTTTGGACCCCCAAATAACTGCCCCCGCCAGAGATCCTCGGGCCCTGAGCGGCCGTCCCCACCCTCACTCCCCAATGCAGAGAGTGCGGGAGAAAGCCCTGGAGGAAGTCGTGATGATGAACGTGGACTCCAATACCTTAGAGACGCCCTTCGACGACGTGCAAGCGTTGCCCCCAGACGTGGTCAGTGTTACCCCCTTCTCTGCTCCCCCCGCGCGTGGTGGAGGGGAGGCCCCACACCCGCCGGCTCACAGCTGCCCCCTTGTCCTCCAGGTGTCCCTGCTGAGGCTGCGGCTAAGGAAGGTTGCCCTGGCGCCCGGGGAAGGGGTGTCCCGTCTCTTCCTCAAAGCCCAGGCTCTGCTCTTCGGGGGATACCGCGATGCGCTCGTCTGCAGCCCGGTGAGCAGCGGGTAGGCCGAGGGAGAGGCCTCGTGGGTCCCTGAAAGATTCTTCATAATAATAATAATAATAATAATAATAATAATAATAATAAATGCCTAGCCTTTATGGAGCTCTTACTCTGTGCCTCTGTTTGCCCATCTGTAAAATGGGATCCCACTAGCACCCTCACAAAAGGGTCCCGTGAGTCAGTGAATGGGCATATGCAAAATGTTTGGGTAGTGCCTAGCACATCGTGAGCACTCAATAAATGCTAGGTTTTTCTGTTACTATGATCTCACTTAATGCTCACAACAGTGTGATAAGCTAGATACCATTATGGTCCCATTTTACTTATGAGGAAACCAAGGCTTGGAGAAGTCCCACGGCAGGTAAGTGTTGAAGCCAGGACTTCAGGATCTGCTGACTCTCAAACTTCCCCACCTCCGTTTTCACAACTATTCTAAAAAGGGGGGGGGGGGGTCTATCGTGTGAGCATCTGACATTCCTGTTGGCTCTGCCTTTACAACACGTCCCAAATCTGCCCATTTCTCCCCTCCTCTGTCTCCACCCTGCTCTGGCCCCCATGATTGCCCGCCTGGATTAGGACTTTCATCTCCCTCGAGTTCTCTCTCAAGGGGCTCCCACCCTCGCCCCCTACTGTCTGTCCTCCCCCATGGTGAGCACCTGAGTCAGGTCCCGCCCTCCTCCTCCTCAAAGGCTCCCACCTCCCTGCGGCCCACGAGACCCTGCGCAAGATCAGGCACACAGTAGGCGCTCAACCTTGCTACATAGATATGTGAGCCAATAAGGGAGACAGTTGGGGTCCAGGAGAGCCACGGGAAGATCAGGTCACGGGTCTTTTTTTTTTCTAGGGTCAGCCTGTGACCTTCAGTGAAGAGGCCTTCCTGGCCCAGAAGCCGGGGGCGCCCCTGCAGGCCTTCCATCGGAGAGCTGTGCACCTGCAGCTGTTCAAACAGGTGCGCTAGAACCCTGAGGGCGGGGCTGGGACCGGGGGCGGGGCTAAGTAGGGGCTGGGGAGGACAACCCTGGGTCCCTGGGAGCGAGCCGGACCCCGAGGGGCGGATGCCTGGGTCCAGTGGGCGAGACTAGAGTCGGTCCAGCGGGGAGTCCCGCCCTCAGGGTCCCCGGGTGGGGGAGGCATGACTGAACTGTGTCGCTAAAGATGGGAGCCCCTGACTCCTGGGCTCCCGAGGGATGAGATCTACTCCCAGGTTCCTGGGGAGATTGGGGTGGGACTAAATTCCTGGGTCCCTGAGGATGGAGCATCCAGGGTCAGGGGTGGGTGGGTGTAAGTGCGGGACTCTGAAGGAGGCGTGTCCTGAGTGCGCCCTCCCCTTGCCGGAGAGGAGGTGGGCGGGGACTCCTGGGTTATCGGGACGTGGAGACGCGGAGCCGGATTTCTGGGGTTCTTGGGAGGTGGGCTGGACTCCAGGGTCCATCAGTGTAGGGATGGGTTCTCGGGTCCCTGAAGGTGGGGTCGACTTGGAGGGAGGCCTGTCGGGAGTGTCAGAGTCCCACTTCCGGATCCCTATGAGGGGCGGGGTCTGGTCCCTGACTGGTCCTGACTTGGTGCGGGGTGGGGGGAGGTTTCCTGGCTTCCTGAGGCGCCTCCAGACTCCTGGGTCCCGGAGGCGAGTCCCTTGGAGGGGTCAGGGATGGCCCGGAGGCCAGAGATGCAGGGCCAGCAGAATCCTGGGTCCTCCAATTCAAAAGTGGCGGAGGCAGCCCTTTTCTGACCCTTCCCCCACCCCCAGTTCATCGAAGGCCGACTGGAGAAGCTGAACACAGGAGAGGGCTTCTCAGATCTCTTTGAGCAGGAGATCACCTGCAATGGGGCCTCCTCAGGTGAGCCCTGTGTCTAGCCCGGAGCCCCGCCCCACCAGCACCCCCGCCTGAGCCCGCCAGCCAGCCGTGACCACCCCTCTCCTCACTGCAGGCGCACTTTACTCCTACCAGCTCTGGGCAGACAACCTAAAGGTAGAACACCGCACTCTTAGTGTTTATTATGGGATTAACTTAGCCCCGGAACAGTCCCCGGGGAGGGTCACCGTTATGCTCATTTATAGACAGAAGAAATGGAGACTCAGCTAGGGAGAGGGGCTCGTCCAGCCTCACACAGCTGGGGTGACGAGGTGGAGTCTGGGGTAACCCCAGAGGCCCAAGTCTCTCTCCCTTGCCATTCTGTCTCCCCAGAAAGGTGGCGGTGCTCTCCTGCATTCGGTCAAGGCCAAGACTCAACCAGCTGTCAAAAACATGTACCGCTCGGTGAGGCTACACGACACAGGCCACCGACCGGGGGTCACAAAGACCAGGGGACAAGGCACATGGCAACCCCTCGTGGGGACAGGACATTTTAACCTCACATGTAAAGTGCAAACATGTCTTTTTATCAGAAGCAAGGTGGCAGTTAAATAAGTCTTCGCGTTTTTATTTTCCAGTTACCTGCTCATTTCTGCCAGGATCATTTCTACCCCACTTAAAACTGACAACCAGGATTCATTGGCGAACATCTTTTGTCCTCAGACACTACGGTCCCAGCCTCTGCCCTTGTGTTTCTTTTTCTCCCGAGCCCCGAAGTTTCCTGTGGCCAACCTCTGCCGCACCAAATTGTCCCTTGGGTCTTATCTGTTGCTTGTCTTCTGAATGCTGACACCACTTACAGTGTTCTGTGTTTGCCACTCTCCATTTCGTTCAGTGGTTATGTCCTCTAGGAATTCTTCTCTATTAGGCAAGGGGTGAGTCTGTGTTGACTTCTCAGGTGGTCCGTGTAGCACAAACGTGAACAGATGGCACGACAGTGATCCTAGGGGACGGAGAGCCGAGCTCTTGACTGCCCAGGTTCAAAGCACTGCGGAGTCTAATTCTCTTTGTGGCTCCTCCGTAGGCCAAGAGCGGCTTGAAGGGTGTGCACAGCCTTCTGATGTACAAGGTAAGGCCGGTGGCCAACGGCCGGGGCAGTGGAGAAGGGCTCACCCACCCGGCTCACCCACCCTCTTCCTAGGATGGGGACTCTAGCCGGCAAAGGGGGGGCTCCCTGAGAGCCCCGTCCCTCACCAGCCGCTCAGAGCGCCTGCAACAGCGCCTGCCTATCACCCAGCACTTTGGAAAGGTAAGCGCGTCTCCCCCAGCACCCTGCGACACTAACGCCACCTTGTCCTTCTCCCATTCTGTCCACACCCAGACTTCTGGCTCACATGCTCACCTACCCCAGTGTTCGGTGCCCACTTACCACACACCCTCCTCCAGAAACCTGTAGTTCCTGAGGCCCCACCCTCCAAATCTGTCCTTCGCAGAACCGGCCCCTTCGCCCCAGCAGGAGACGGCGACTAGAAGAGAGACCTTCTGAGTCCCGGGAGGAAGGGTGAGACTCAAAGGCAGGGGGAGGGGGCAGGGAGGCCAGGTCCCTAAACTCCAGAACCTCCAGAGCAGTCCCATTAGGACTAGGGGTCTTGGGCAGACATCTGGGGCTGCCCATCCTTACCCAGGACACCTGCTCTGAGCCCTGAGGAGGCCCAGGACCCATGGGCAGAGGAAGCTCTGGACAGCAGCTTCCTGGGGTCTGGAGAAGAACTGGATTTGCTGGGCGAGATTCTGGACAGTCTGAGCCTGGGAGCCAGCAGGACAGGTAGCCTGCGGCCCAGCCAGAGCTTGGACTGCTGTCACAGAGAGGACACAGACAGCTGCTTCAGCTTGGTGAGAGCCCCAGCCCCCGTCCAACCCCCCTGCCAAAAGTCCATCAGACTTGTCAGCCTTCTCCAGCATCTGAAGACCAGCAACTTGCCCGTTTCCCTACCCCCACCCAGCCTGACATAGCAGAAAGACCAAGATGGCAACCAGAAGATGAGAAACTTCCAGAGCCCCAGCCCCTGTCCCTGCCTGCTGACCTGCCATCTCAGCAAACCCTCCAGTCTTCGGATGCCGCGACCTCCTCAAAGGACCCTATTTCCCAGCCAGCCTTGGAGGCCAGCCAAGAAACCATCCTTCTTCCATCGCTGCCTTCACCAGCTTCTGCAGACCCCAGCAGCCCAGGGGACCCCGAGTCCGATCTTCTCATCCTACATCTCTCCCCTCCCCACAAGGCAGCTGAAGACCCCAGAGCCCAGGAGAGCCCCTGCTCTCAGCTGTCCACAGCACCCACCCAGTCCAGCCCTCCAGAAAGCCCCCAACTTCTGGTCCCCACAAAGCCCAACTTGGATATTACCTGGACATCCCAACCCCTTGAGCCCCTTGATTCTTCCTCAGATCCTGGTTCCCCAGAGAACCCCAGGTCCCAGCCATCTGAGGTCATGCTGGCAGAACGTGCTCATTTCCAGTGCCCCAAGGGGCCAGGAGCCCTCAGACCCCCTGCTGCACCCGACAGTGACTGGCAGGAGTCCCAGGCTAGGAGCCGGCCCAGAGTCGCTGAGCTTAAAAAGTGTTTTGAAGGTTAAGAATCAGGGTCCCAGAGGAGACCCTGGTCCTTCAATAAAGCCACATGAGCCCAAAGCTGGTTTTCCTGGTGAGTTTATCTGGGGGCCCTCTCTGTGCTCAGAAACGTACCCCATCCGCCACCTCCCTCCTCCTCCTCCAGCTGGCTCCCAGGTGCAGCAGGAAGCCCCTCCCTTCCAGGAAGCCCCCCCCTGGATTCTTGCACCCTTACAATTCATCTCTCAACAGCCTATGAGCCCTGAGTTTGTCCTCTCCATCTAGCCTGACTCCTGCCCCACCGGCTTAAAAAAAAAAAGAAAAAAAAAAAAAAAAATGTATTATTTTATTTCTCTCTCAGTATTGTATTTATATATATATATATATATATATATATATATATAAAATATAAGCAGCACCACCCTCCCTTCCCCTCAGGGGCAGAGTCTTTGAAGCACCTTCCTCCCTTCTATTCTTAAGCACTAGTTGGTTTGATTGCCCAGAGAGGGCTCTGCCTTCCCCCAAGGTCACACAGCAAGAGAGAGAGAGAGAGAGAGAGAGAGAGATGGATGGAAAAGGGACCTAGATGGGCAGGCAGCCCCGCACTGTCTCCTTGGAGTCCTGGGGAGCCCGGGCCTCGGCTGCGTGGGAGAACTGGAAGGAAAGGAGGGGGGATTTGTTGGGCCTGTGTGGCAGCGGGCTAGACAGCCGAGCGAAATGGTGCAGCAAGCGGGGAGGCGGGCCCCCAGCCCCGGCACCCCCCAGTTGCAGGCAGTCAAGCAAAGGTGGCATGCTTCACCGAGCCCACCAGGCAGGTGCCCCGTGGCCCCCCAAGTCCTCCTGAACCATCAGAGGCTGTTTTCTCGGTGGCGGCTGCTGCGTGTGAGCGAGCGCCGGGCAGTCCTGAGCAGCGGTGGAGGCGGCAACGGGGCCCCGGCATTCAGATGAGCCGCTCCTCCGGCGGCAGCTTGAGGTTGGGGGGCGGCGGCACGCGGGCACCCACCTGCTCCTCGCTGCTGGGCCGGTAGGTGCCCTGTGTCTGCCGCTTCTCCCGAAGTTTTCGAACCAGCAGCACCAGCCCCACGGCCAGGAGCGAGGCGGCCAGGAGGGAGAAGACCACAATGATGGCGGTGATGGCCTCCTGAGACTGCAGGAGGGGGGACAGGTGTGCTCACCTGAGCCAGGGGACCCTGTCCACCCTCACCTGAGAAACATCCAGGGCTCCCAAAGCCCCCCCTCCCCCCCCAAGCCTGTCACTTCTGGGGCTCCCAGGCTCCCGCCTGCCATGTTTGGGATCCCCCCTCCCAAGCACCCGCCACCTCTGGGTCCCTCCACCTGCTACATGTGGGACTCCTGAATAACACCCCGCTGCCCTCCTCCCACATGTAACTCACCAGCGCCCCATGGGAGCCGGAGCCCGGGTCAGAGGGTGTGATGGTGCTGTTGTCATTTATGGGGGGGTCCAGCGCTGCGGGGAGGGACAAATTATTCCTCATCTATCCTTCCCATCTTAGCACAACTGCACCTCCCTCAGGCATCCCTCGGCTAGAACTCTGCTGAGTCTTCATTCTGGTAGAGACTGTGGGTGCCCTGCCTGCAAGGGCCCGCCGGGTTGATGTTGCCCCGAACCCAGCAGAGCCCCGCAGCGAGTAAGCAGCCTACAGCAGTTTGCAGTTTGTGCTGAGTTGGGGTCTGCTATAGTGGAAGGTTTTGTCCCTCCCCGCAGCGCTGGACCCCCCCATAAATGACAACAGCACCATCACACCCTCTGACCCGGGCTCCGGCTCCCATGGGGC